TTTCTTTCTCTCTCTCACACTGGTAACAATAAATGGAACAAAACTCTCTCTCTCTCTCTCTCTCTCTCTCTCTCTTTTGTGTTAGCTCTTAGTCTCATTGATTTGGCTACCTCAGGGCTGCGCGCCCACGCGGTAGACAATACGTTTGTATTCGCGGGCTCTGCTATTCGAGAAAAGTGGACCCGTGCGTTTTCAATTTCGAAAAAGGCTACCGCTGCCTCCTCGGCCTCCTACGGGCAGCTACCGGTCGTACGCGGTCCTGGCCCTTGAACTTGAAAGGCCCCAAAACCTCAAAATGCCCATCCTCCCGACGACCACCGACGTTGAAATTCGATTGACGGTCGGGGGGAAACGCAACCCCGGCGCCATGAGGAAGCTGGTGATGATAGCAGATGCGGACCGTTGAGACGCCAGGCTGAGAACGTAGGTGGGCAGACAGGACGGCTGGGGAGGCAAATTCACACGGTTGTTTCGGTCGTTGGGCGTTGGGGGCACTGGCCATTGCTTTTCCCGCTCATGCTCATGATTACGTTTGCGATCAACGAAGGGAAGAGTTTGAGGCTTGGCGCGTGACGCACGGCGACAGATGGAGGACGGCGCGCAAGCGGCGTGGGAAAATTCGGCTGGCGGAGCTTCGGCTACTGGACGTGGAATCATTACAAGCTTCTGCCATAGCTGCCGTTTCTCGCATCGACGACTGGGTTCTCGGGGGAGCTCACCACCATAGCTGTCGCTTCTGGCGTCGATCGAGGGCGTCACCGTATCTGTCAGTGGAATATCTTCGGATCGTTGATTAACTCTGTGACTGCTTCTAAGGATCTCGTGGCGGCACTAATTAGACCACACGCCGAAATCTTGAGAGGTGCGCGTGTGATCTTTGTCCCTCGCCGCGTCAGCTTGCTGTGCGAGGACGACACTGGCCTCACTATTGAGTAGGGCACGCATTTCCATTGGCGGCGTTTCTGCGGCGGGTCTCGTGGAGGACCCGCGCCATCACAGGGAGATTCGGCGAAAAGAGTGAGAATTGGTGACGCCTATCTACCCCATCTCTTTCCGCTTCTGTGTCAAAGGGGTAGCAGAAGAGATGGTGTACGTGAGGTTAACAAGAAATAGAAGGATGCTTACGAAGACGGTCGAGGGATGGCGATAAGAAGATCTGAGGGTTACCGTGTTAAGGGATCAAGGACTGGCTTGAAGGGCCAGAAGAAGGCGCCTGGTGAAGTAATAGGGGACAAGAGAAGGCAGAATGTGATAACATCAGCAGGGACAAAGAGGCGATAAATAGTGCAGGAGGACTCGACTGTGGTGAATGGAAATGGAAAAGCGCGGGAGGAATAAGTCGAGGAAAGAGTAATATATTAGGGCGTGATAGGTAACAGTAAGACCTATATGTGGGCGGACATACGCACACACAAACCGGGCGTTGGGGATTCATTGATTGGCGTAGAGAAATTGGCAGATACAGAAAATGGCCGCTAGTTTGACAGATAGCTAGAGGAGTAGATAGCTCAATAGGTAGATTGGTAAATAGGTCGGTCGATCGATCGATCGAGAGAGAGATCTAGAGAGAGATCTAGAGAGAGAGAGAGAGAGAGAGAGAGAGAGAGAGAGAGAGAGAGAGAGAGAGAGAGAGAGAGAGAGAGAGAGAGAGAGAGAGAGAGAGAGNAGAGAGAGAGAGAGAGAGAGAGAGAGAGAGAGAGAGAGAGAGAGAGAGAGAGAGAGAGAGAGAGAGAGAGAGAGAGAGAGAGAGACGGAGATAGAGAGAGAGCGAGAGAGAGAGAGCGAGCTCTGTGTACGTGTTTTGTTCTCTTTTCTAGAACCTGAAATGCCCGTAAGAGCGTGTGTTGCGTGTAGTCGTGGACGACTTCTCTCCTGATGTTCCGAACAGGCAGACTCCTTTGTACGCGGATTGACTGGAAGTGATTGTGAAAGGCTAGATCGTTCGTCCTGCAGTCGCTGACCAATTGATTTGGAACGAATTGATCAGTTGAGTCAAGCACTTATAGAGTCAGCTGTTCCATTGTTGACATTCTATCTACGAGTTTGATTAATCAGATTGATTGGCTTAGTGACTCTCCTGCCTGGCCTTCTTAATTATTTTCTCTCTCCCCGTCTATGATTTAGCTGTTATTATGGTCTAATTAGCTGTTGTTGGCCGCTCGCTGCATGCCCAGTTGGTCTGCCTATTTCTCTGTTAGATGTGCTTTGCAATGTGTTGGGAAATCCTTGGCCTCTGTGCACCTCTCCCCTCACGCGTACCGCGTCCTCTTAGTGAAACCTTGTACTTCTTCCTTTCCCCCCCCTTTCCCCGCCCCTTCCCCCCATTTCTCTTCTCACTGATAGATGACGAATATGTCGAAATTAGGGACGGCGGTCCTGATTGGCCCTAACATGGCCTCAGCAGGTGTTTATTCTTCTTTCTGGAGTTCTGGAGTATGACTGTCCATGCTATGTCTCCTTCGACCTCTCTGCGACGACTACGGTAGCTTCTTAGGGGCCAATGAGGTACCCCTCCTTCAATCTGTGCCCCGCTTAGGGGCTGGCTTGGCCGAACTTTGGTCGACTGGGCATAGGAGAATGCTTTCAGTCGACTGGGCATAGGAGAATGCTTTCAGTAATTTTCCCTTTACTTAATGAACGGTATTGGAATCAGAAGGCGGTAGCTAGCCAGCCGAGAAAACGGCAGGGAGGTAGGTAGGGGTTACCGTATCTTTTTTTTTTTTTTGATATTTTTTTAAACGGTTACCGTATCGGTATGTGCTAAGGTGAAGGAAGCGCCCAAGAGAGGGAAGGGAAGTCTAAGGAACGGCCATCGATGGCTAAGGAATGAATTAGGAGGAGGGGATCACCAAGGAGGTGAGGGGTTAGTGGAGAAATGCCGGCTAGGAGGAAGGAGGGGGGAGGGGTTAATTAGGAGGAAAATTGGATGTAGCAAGGAGGACGGTTTAGAGAGAAAGGAATTTCTCCCTGGAATCAATAAAGCCCCTCGAGAACAAAAATGAGGTAACTTGCGAAAGCAAAGCCCTCACCACAATCAAGCAATTCCGTGAATCAAGGGATGCATACAATAGGAGGCGAAGAGATTCTACACATCAATCAACAGATCTCAAGCAGTCAATCAACGGATGTGGATGTGGTAGCCGGGGGGATAGGAAAGGCTCACGTAGGAGCAGAGGTCGGCGGGGAGAAAGTGGGATTGAATCCGACAAGTAATTCTCAAAGGAAAGCGTGTGTTTCAACAGGGACAAGTAGCTTGAAGTAGGAAATCTGCTTGCTTGCTAGGAAGGCTATCGTTAGGACGACATTGTTTGCGAGGACAACGACACTGCTTCGAGGTTGGTGCAGAAGAAGATACTAGATACTAGATGGGTAGGTTGCAGAACGGAAGGCGTAGCAGAAGACGTTAGCTTAGCGGAAGAATGTGGTGGGTAAGTAGCTGAGGAACGTAAGTATGAGGCGGCGCTGAGAAAGAGGCTCGTCGTTAGACTAGTAGAGGGAGGAGCTTACTAGAAGGGAGTGGTAGTGCAACATCGGTTAGTTTCGCGGGATATCGTGGAGTGGTGGTGCCAGGCGGCCCAATGCATTGTCGAAAAAGCCATTGCACGCACAGGTGGCACTTGACTTAGCAGTGGCTGTGGGGCATTTGAATGGTGCAAAATCTGGGGGTAAAATGTCACCATGGATTGTTCTTACGTCCTCGTCGACGATGATCGCTGGTGTAGCCGGCGTTGGATTACTTTGCGTATTGCTAATCGTTTGGCGGCTCTTCTCGAAGCCTAAGATTGTGGCCATTTCTTCGGAAGAGGAGCTTGGGACTCAGGTTAGCTTTCTGTGGCTACTCTACTCTCTCGCTGTCTCTCTCTCTCTCCCTCTCCTTGTTACTTTCCCCGCCTCCCCCTGCCGCTCTTCTCTCTCTCCCGATTTTCTTCGTTTCTCCTTCGTGATCTTTTCGTCTTCATTTTCCCTTTCTCTCCATCACTTTTTCTTCTGATTCTAGCTACTGTTCTCGTTCTCTTCTGTCTTTTAGGTGGCCTGTTCTCTCTGCTCCCAACCCCTCCCCCGGCGCCCCTCTTCATCGCTCTCGCTCATCTCTTCTCTTTGATGGCCCTTTCTGTCGCACCTCTCCTTCACTTTTCCCCTGTATCCAGTTTGTAATCGACTGCTCTCCCTTCCCTTTCTCTTCGTCTTCTCTCAGCGGCGCAGCGGCGCTGTTCTCGCCCTCTTTCAGTCTTTCATATGTGACATTGTCCTCTTTCCCCATCCTTCCTCCGCTCCTCTTCTTTCTCCCGGTCTCGCTCACCTTTAAGTCCCCCCGGCGACGGGTACCTGCTGTCTCCCGCCTATCCTCCCCCTCTCTCTCCGCGCTTGATCATATCATGGTGGACCCCTTCCATCATCCATTGCGCCCCGCCCCCCCCTCCTCATTCCCCTTTCTCGGTCTCCCGCCCTCCCTCCGCCCTTGACTCTCCTCCCCGTCCTCCCTTTTTTTCTTGCTTTTCTCATCGTCCTCTCTCCGTGCCATTGCTCTCTCCGTATTGTCTTTACCCTTTCTTCTCCCTTGCTGTTTCCTCGTTCCGTCTTCTATCTCCCGTTCTTCCTCCCTCCCTCTTTTCCCGCCTTTCCATTCCTCTCCCTCTGCCCCTCCAACTTGCCACTTGGCGAGACAGTCAAAACCTACCTACCAGGATCGCGATGAGGCAACGAGCGCTTGTCCTCTCTGTTCTCCTTTTCTCATTGCTCGACTCTGTTCGTTTCCCCTTAGCTGCCAGGCGGTTGATAGACGGAAGACATAAGGTGGGTACGGTGGTACTACTCAAGCGCTATGTTGACACTGGCGATATTGGGCGTCGCTCCACTACACAACACTCCACATGCATGTGAACTCTTTCTGGACCATAGACATTCAAACCGTTGTCAACGTCAAAATGCACATGGCTCAGAAAGCATCCAAATGCATCTAGAGTGTTGTGTAGTGGAGCGAGGGCCATTGGCAGCTTACACCCGGCCATGACCGAAGGCGGTCGAAAGAGGAGCGAGGAAGGCCGGGAAGGATATTTGTTGCTGTCATCTCCTGATAAGAATGGGATGAAAAAACCAATAAAGTGCCGGAGGGATATAACCTCACCGTTCCACAATCAACAAATCCCTGGGCGTTATGCATTGGTCGAAAAAAAGGCCGATCGCGTGGCGGTGCGGGAGAAAGGGCCTCGCTCTAGTACTCTTGAAATGTGCAAAATGAGAATGAATCTTGCCCTAGAACTGGGAAAGATACGTCGCCATATGTTTTGCCTTTTGTGCGTGTCGAGAGTAGTGGAGCGAGGCTCAAGGTCTGGTCGGGCACGATTGCAGTGTGCCGCCAGTCGGTTAAAATCAATCAGTCCGGGAGATGCTCTGCGCTAGCCGTCAGTTAAGAAATGACCAGCAGCACACGTGCGCGCGCGCTTACAGTCAATCAGTTTGGGTTCCTCAATATGAACTGTGTGCGCGCGCGCTCCTCACCCATCAGTTTTTCAGTGGAAATGCGCATTAGATGCCAAATCGCGCGCTTACCCATTGACGGCTGAACTTTCGCGCGCCCGACCAAGATCCTTATCAGATTCACGGCCGCCTGGATTAATAACTAAAAATTCACAGTCCAGTAGTGCCTTGGGCGCTCGTGGTTTGTACGTCATTTTGCGGGACAGCGCACTCGCGTTTCCTGAAGCATAATTCATTGCCTGCACTTTCGCTGCGGGACAGCTCACTCGCGTTTCGTGGACTGTATAGATTAACATTGCGTGCAATTTTTTGTTCTTTTGCCCGCATTTTCGCGGCCCTCAGGTAATGAATGCTGGATCGGGCTTGCGCTCGTGTTCAATCAATTAGTCAATCAAATCAATCAATCAAATCAATCAATCAAAGGAATCAGATCAAGCAATCAAATCAATCAACCAATCAATCACATCAAATAGAATCAATCAATCAAATCAATCAAATTAATGAAATCGTCAAATCAATCAATGCCTGATTTTGGAGCGGAAGGTGGATCAATGAAAACGATTAGTAGCATCGTTGCTACCTACATCGCCTGACTTTCGCGCCGGCGGACCCTGGTAAGCAATCAATCAATCAATCAATCAATCGAGCGCATACTCCTGATGATGGCCGGTATTGGCGAACCGGCCGAAACAGGTGTCGGGAGTCTTGCCAGCTTGTTCCTTAGTGTGCCTATGACGCGCTGTGCCTACTTCGATTCCGTCAGCTTGATTGAGTGTTTTATTTTACGAGCTGACTGCGCTCAGTGTTGCATATTCATATACCTCTTGTCTTGATCCCGTTCCTTGTACTGACGTTTGGCTTTGTGTGTGCTCTTTTCACACTTGGCTTGCCTTGCAATGATCATCTATCTAATGAACGGAGAGTCTCTTGCGCCGACGGACCTTGGTAATCAATCTATCAAATCCATCTATCACTGTGATTTAGAGTGCTCTTGCTAATGAGCAAGGAAAGAGTCTCTTGCGCCGGCGGACCTTGACCGAAGACAACGCTTGAGCGCGCGCGCTCACGAGCGCTATCAAACAACGTCTGGTTATTGTGAAAATTGCGACTTTGTGCGCAATCTGTCAATTGCGTTTGGCAATCAGTCGTCGATGGATATGTTCGCACATCTTTAGTATAGTAGTTACGTTTGAGTCAATCGCCATTCATAGCTCGATTCTTGATTGCATTTTCCAACTGCTCTGAGCCGATCCAATGAATGGCTGACCGCACGTGCACAGCTCGATTCTTGATTGCATTTCCAACTGCTCTGAGCCAATAGGGGCTTGGTCGCTCAGGGACGCCAGACACGACCCCTTGTCCACACCCTCTCGATCAGCCAGCCAGTGCTGCCCTTCGATCAAGCAATGATGGGTGGACACGCTTGCAACGATATCGTTTGATTCATTCTTGAGCGCGATTGCGAGACCTACCTGCCGTCGCTGCCTGCCACGCCAGCCCGGACGGCGGACGATCTCTAATGGTTGCATTAGTGAGGTACCCCTTTTGTGCAGTCAGGACTTTTGTCACGCCCGGGCGTCGGGGGTAACACGACGGATCCGGCCACTCGCAGACGGACGCTGGCTGCTCAGGTGGTTAGCGCGAGTAGGGAAGGATGTCCGTTTGAAAGTGAACAGGATTCTGTGAATTGTTGGCGTAGAATGAATGAGGGAGCCGATGGCAGTGATGATGGTGCTGATACTAATGCGGGATGGTGACGCGCATCCACAGGAAGGGGATTTGATGGACGACGGTTTTCAAGGGACGCTGAACAAAATAACTAGGAAAACGTGAACAGCAAGTACATTGTGTCTGTCTACGTGTGTGTGTGTGTGTGTGTGTGTGTGTGTGTGCGTGTGTGTGTGTGTGTGTGTGTGTGTGTGTGNGAGAGAGAGAGAGAGAGAGAGAGAGAGAGAGAGAGAGAGAGAGAGAGAGAGAGAGAGAGAGAGAGAGAGAATCGTCTGCGACACTGGTCGACAATGCCAGTCGTACATGCATACAAGGAGCAGCAATATCGGTCACTCTTGCACTCCCCGAAGCTGGCTGCGCTCCGCTCTCGTTTACATAGGTAGGATGTGGAGGGGTGTGTGTGTGTGTGTGTGTGTGTGAGAGAGAGAGAGAGAGAGAGAGAATCGTGTCCGACACTGGTCGTACACGCATACAAGAAGCAATGTTGGTCGCTCTTGCACACTCCCCGCAGCCGGCTGCGCCCGGGTCTCATTGGCACAGGTAGGATGTAGAGTGGTGGGTCTCTGTCCACCTCGTGGCACGATCTACTGTCTTTCCTCAAATTGGAGTGTTATGGTTGTTACGCTCAAAACAGAAACTAGAAATAAAAGTAAAAATCATTCGATCCAGAATTTATAGTAATAATTGAAAAAAGGTTGCTATGTGAAGTGATTAAATAATGTGTGAAGGCCAGAGCACTCTGTTCTACATTTTCGGAGGACAAACCCACCTCTCAGACTGCACACATGTGTGCAGATCATGCACTCGCGCATCTGCGCATCCAGGTGTGTCACTTTTTTCTTGGTTACATCCAGGTGCATCCTTTTTTTTTTCCTTTTGTGAAAGACCAATGCTCCATCTATTGGTGGGGAGCTGCACCTGCTGGAAACCAGGTCCAGCGTCCCACAGTACGTGAAGTACATGGAATTCAAGAAAAATACATGAATGCGGATTAAAATAAGCCTGACCGGCTAGTCTATGCACTGTCAATCCTGAGCGGGCGGTTTATATGCTTCTCTCCTAAATATAACATTGTGTTTGCAGTTGTGGTTATCATTCGGAAAAGCTCCTTACCTAGTGTATATCTCTGGTGGCCTTCAGACCGGGCCTGATTTAACTCTCCATCATTGGATTTGGTAGGGTCCAGCACTTTCAAAATGCGCCACCGAGCTTGTGCTCGAAAATTTTCCCAACTATGGACCTTGCTGCGCTGCTCAAGATGTGAGACGTATCTGGATTATTTGCGGACCAGATACATTCGGACTGATCGAACATTTGGGATACATTGCGACTACTATCAGGTCCAGATACGTTTAGAATGTTCTGCAGTGGAGCGAGGCCCTATGGATATCGTTTGCTGTAGAGAGATGCACTGTTTGCTGTAGAGAGATGCACCCGATCATAATTGCTGGCCTCCCTGATACTTCCCTTTTGCGCTTGTGTGTCTCTGTCTGTCTGTCTGACATGCCGTGTCCTGCGGATGATGTTCTGATCTCAGTAGTTTGTAGGTGGGATGTAGTTTTGGGTGAACCTCTGCGTTCCTCCACCCACACCTTTCTGTGCCTGTCCGATTCTGCCCCTCTGCCTGCGTGACTGACTGACTGACTGTTTTGGTGGTTATGATGGCACTGGTTCCCATTGTTGCAGGTCTTCAGCATGGATGCAGTCCCGTCGAAGCTGGATGTGGTAGTGATTGGCTCCGGGCTGGGTGGTCTGAGTGCAGCTGCGTGCTTGGCCCGTGTTGGAAAAAGGGTTCTCGTCTTGGACCGAGATGCGGCTTCTGGTGGATGTGCACAATCTTTTGTGAACAGGGGGTTTCAGTTTGACTCTGGGTTTCAATATGTACCTGGCAGCCTGGCAGACCCTTCTGCTCCAATCGGGAGACTGTTCAACGCGTTACTTGGCTGGGGCGTTGAATGGGTGCCCCCTCGTTCTGACTGTTATGACAAAGTGGTATTTCAGGATGACGAGGAGGAATTTGCTTTCAAGGAAGCATTGAGCACGCTTCAGCGAGATCTGGAAACGAAGTTTCCCAGCGAAAGTGCATCAATTCAATCCATCTTTGAGTTAAGCAGAGAAGTTGGTGCAGCGTTTGCTGGGCTTTGTGTATGGAAGATGTTGCCGAGGTGGGTAAGAGACCACTTTGACAGCATTGCGCGGTTGTTCCTCAGTCCAGTTTGCGACGTTGGTCTGTCAACAACGTACGATATGCTCCGACAGTTCACAGAGGATGAACGCCTCACTGGAGTCTTGACATCTCAATGGTTTGAGTATGGACTTCCACCAAAGGAGTCCTCTTTCTTTGTCGCCTTCTTTTCCTTACTGAGTGTTTGCAAGGGGGCTTTCTACCCACAGAAGGGAATTGGGTCAATTCCAAAAGCCCTGGTATCGCAGATAGAGCGTGCGGGAGGGAAGGTTCTCCAGCGTGCCCACGTACAGCACATTCTTGTTGACAACCTAAAGAAGACAGTTGTGGGACTGCGATTGACTACCGTACAGGGCGAGGTGGTTCACATAAGATGCAACTGCATCGTCAGTGGCATTGGGGCACTGCCAACCTATGAGACTTTACTCGATGAGGAATCACGGAGGGCTCTGGGGGTCGGAGATGCAATCGCCATGTTACATCAAGATGTTGGACCATCCAAAGTTGTCATAACAATGTTTGTGGGTCTGAGAGGAAGTCACTCTGAACTAGACTTGCCAGGGCACAATACTCGTGTGCACTGTTCGCATAATTACAAAGAGAAGATTCTAGTGGAGCTCGAAGGCAGTGAAGGTGGACTGATGGAAAGGCGAAGTATAGGGAGGGGGGGAAGCCCGGGGGAATCGAAGGACGGGGAGCATACCTGGAGTTTTGTTGATGCCAATGGACTTGTAGAAGGCAATTGCTCTCATAGTTCGAGCGATGGAGAGAGTACAGGGGCCTGCTTAGAGGAGGGGCTACTGCCGGTCGATTGTCTGACGATCTCGTTCCCATCAGCCAAGGATCTAAATTACATGGCACGGCATGGAAACAGGTCCACCTGTTGCGTCCTTGCCACAGTGGACGGCAAGTGGTTGGAAGCATGGTCAGCAGGGGAAAGTAGGGGGGGTACCATTGACAATCTGAAGACGAACCTCGCAGCAGCGCTGCTAGTAAAGCTGTTCGAATTATATCCGTTGCTGCGGCGGAAGGTTGAGTTTGTTGATGTTTCTGTGCCGTGGAAGGTGCCATGGAAGGTAAGCGATGGTGATTTCTTCGCAGTGGAAAGGGGCATGTCATATGGGCTGGCATCGCGGCCGCAGAGGTTCTTGCCACGCATCCAGAAATTCTTGGGACCCACCACAGCGGTGAAAGGGCTGTTCCTTGCAGGCCAAGATGTGCTGGTGACCGGTATGGTGGGTGCTTTCTTAGGAGGTGTACTGGCAGCAATTGCGGTGTCAAAACTGTGCCTGCTAGATCTCTTGTGGGTTGTGATGGGGTGGAGCCGCCGAAAGCAAATACCTCGATAGAAGTAATTGTGATTTGCTGGCATTCATATGCGCTTGGTGCATGGTCGTATACGGTGTGGGATTCGAGCATGGTTGTGTCCTCGTACGGGAAACAAATGCTAGGAAAAAGCTGGAGACAGTTTGGTTATGAGCTTGCCATGTGCATCTCTTCACCAGCAGATTGGACTGCAAAGGGATTTGCAGGTGGGAGACAGCAGCAGGCTCACACCCACCCACAGTAGACACTTCAAGTGGTGGTTTACATTCATGTTGTCTTGCCTTACCTTCTGCGTGACAAACCTTTCCAACATAATTCCTGTTACAACTCTCGAGTGTTTTCTTACGTTGGTCCAGTCGTAGATATTGCGTGGATGCCAGGAGACAGGTAAGTCAGTATGCGTACGTGCTGTGGGACATATCTACAATAGTGTGCACGGACGAGTGTGCGCGTGCATGCGCGTGCGTGCGCGCGCGCGCGTGTGTGTGTGTGTGTGTGTGTGTGTGTGTGTG